TGGAGGGAGTAGTAGGTAAATTTGGGGTGCCAGGGGTAAATGTAAATGGGGAGCCTTTAATTGAGCTATGTGTAGAAAGAGGTTTGGTAATAAGTAATACATATTTTATGAAAAAGAGGATAAATAAATATACAAGGTATGATATAGCACATAATGAAAGTAGTTTGTTAGATTATGTATTGGTGGATAAAAGATTGATGGGTAGGCTCCAGGATGTACATGTTTATAGAGGGGCAACTGATGTATTGGATCATTACTTAGTTGTAGCTACAGTTAGAGTAAGAGGTAGATGGGACAAGAGGAAAATGGCAACAACAAGTAAGAGAGAGGTGAAAGTGTGTAAACTAAGGGAGGAGGAAGTTCGGGTGAGATATAAGCAACTATTAGCAAAAAGATGGGTTAGTGCAAATATAAATAATGTGGGGGGGGGGCTTGAAGAGGGTTGGAATAGTTTTAAAAATGCAGTATTAGAATGTGGGGCAGAAGTTTGTGGTTATAGGAGGGTGGGGGCAGGAGGAAAGAGGATTGATTGGTGGAATGATGAAGTAAAGGGTGTGATAAAAGAGGAAAAGGTAGCTTATGAGAGGTTTTTACAAAGCAGAAGTGTTATAAGAAGAGCAGAGTATATGGAGAGTAAAAGAAAGGTGAAGAGAGTGGTGAGAGAGTGCAAAAGGAGAGCAGATGATAGAGTGGGAGAGGCACTGTCAAGAAATTTTAATGAAAATAAGAAAAAAAATTGGAGTGAGTTAAACAAGTTAAGAAAGCCTAGGGAAAGTATGGATTTGTCAATTAAAAACAGAGTAGGGGAGTTAGTAGATGGGGAGAGGGAGGTATTAGGTAGATGGCGGGAATATTTTGAGGAACTTTTAAATATCGACGAAGAAAGGGAGGCGGTAATTTCGTTCATTGGCCAGGGAGGTATACCATCTTTTAGGAGTGAGGAAGAGCAGGACGTGAGTGTGGGGGAGGTGCGTGAGGTATTATGTAGAATGAAAGGGGGTAAAGCTGGAACTAACGGGATCATGACAGAAATGTTAAAAGCAGGGGAGGATATAGTGTTAGAGTGGTTGGTATTTTTGTTTAATAAATGTATGAAAGAGGGGAAGGTGCCTAGGGCTTGGCAGAGAGCATGTATAGTTCCTTTATATAAAGGGAAGGAGGACAAAAGAGATTGTAAAAATTATAGAGAAATTAGTTTACTGAGTATACCGGGAAAAGTGTACGGTTGGGTTATTATTGAAAGAATTAGAGGTAAGACAGAATGTAGGATTGCGGATGAGCAAGGAGGTTTTAGAATGGGTAGGGGATGTGTAGATCAAGTGTTTACATTGAAGCATATATGTGAACAATATTTAGATAAAGGTAAGGAAGTTTTCATTGCATTTATGGATTTAGAAAAGGCATATGATACAGTGGATAGGGGAGCAATGTGGCAGATGTTGCAAGTATATGGAATAGGTGGTAAGTTATTAAATGCTGTAAAGAGTTTTTATGAGGATAGTGAGGCTCAGGTTAGGGTGTGTAGAAGAGAGGGAGATTACTTCCCGGTAAAAGTAGGTCTTAGACAGGGATGTGTAATGTCACCATGGTTGTTTAATATATTCATAGATGGTGTTGTAAAGGAAGTAAATGCTATGGTGTTCGGGAGAGGAGTGGAATTAAATTTTGGGGAATCAAATACAAAATGGGAATTGACACAGTTACTTTTTGCTGATGATACTGTGCTTATGGGAGATTCTAAAGAAAAATTGCAAAGGTTAGTGGATCAGTTTGGGAGTGTGTGTAAAGGTAGAAAGTTGAAAGTGAACATAGAAAAGAGTAAGGTGATGAGAGTATCAAATGATTTAGATAAAGAAAAATTGGATATCAAATTGGAGAGGAGGAGTATGGAAGAAGTGAATGTTTTCAGATACTTGGGAGTTGATGTGTCAGCGGATGGGTTTATGAAGGATGAGGTTAATCATAGAATTGATGAAGGAGAAAAGGTGAGTGGTGCATTGAGGTATATGTGGAGACAAAAAAATGTTATCTATAGAGGCAAAGTAGGGAATGTATGAAAGTATTGTGGTACCAACACTCTTATATGGGTGTGAAACATGGGTTGTAAATGCTGCAGCAAGGAGACGGTTAGAGGCAGTGGAGATGTCCTGTCTAAAGGCAATGTGTGGTGTAAATATTATTCAGAAAATTCAGAGTGTGGAAATTAGAAGGTGTGAAGTTAATAAAAGTATTAGTCAGAGGGCTGAAGAGGGGTTGTTGAGGTGGTTTGGTCATTTAGAGAGAATGGATCAAAGTAGAATGACATGGAGAGTGTATAAATCTGTAGGGGAAGGAAGGCAGGGTATGGGTCGTCCTCGAAAAGGTTGGAGGGAGGGGGTAAAGGAGGTTTTGTGGGCGAGGGGCTTGGACTTCCAGCAAGCGTGCATGAGCATGTTAGGAGTGAAGGGAGACGAATGTTATTTGGGACCTGACGAGCTGTTGGAGTGTGAGCAGGGTTATATTTTGTGAAGGGATTCAGGGAAACTGGTTATTTCTATATAGCCGGACTTGAGTCCTGGAAATGGGAAGTACAATGCCTGCACTTTACAGGAGGGGTTTGGGATATTGGCAGTTTGGAGGGATATGTTGTGTATCTTTATACGTATATATGCTGTATAGCCCTTGTGGCTTAGCGCTTCTTTTTGATTATAATAATAATTTATACGTATATGCTTCTAAACTGCTGTATTCTGAGCACTTCTGCAAAAACAGTGATTATGTGTGAGTGAGGTCAAAGTGTCGAGTGATGCTGAAAGTATTTTCTTTTTGGGGGTTTTCTTTTTTGGGTCACCCTGCCTCGGTGGGAGACGGCCGAGTTGTTAAAAAAAATCATGTATATATATATATATATATATATATATATATATATATATATATATATATATAATATATATATATATATATATATATACACACACACACATACCACACAGTGGTATCTCAAGTTTTGAACAGCTCCCAACTTGAACAATTATGTAAGTGTATCTTTGTAAATGCATTTGTAAAAGTATTGTTGGGGGTCTGAACCGGACTTATCTAATTTACGTTATTCCTTATGGGAACAAATTCGTTTGGTATCGGCACTCAAACAACCTTCTGGAACGAATTAAGTTTGTAACTCGAGGTACCACTGTATACAGTGGAATATCGGCTTACGAATTTAAACCTTTCCATGTCCTTGTTCTTATCCCAATTTGTTCGTATGCTGAGTCAATTTTCCTTATTTAAATTAATTGAAATGGCATTAATCCATTCCAGCGGAATTCCTGCTCTCAGGAGGCACGACAAAATACTTCAGTGTGATGCTAATATCAACTCTACGGCTTATTTATATATCACAATTCTTCTAATTTCACCATCACTCGAGGAATGCACAACAGGTGCATCATTGTCAATGTTCAGCATTTCTTCTGTGTCAGCTTCCTGTAAACTCCATTTGCACAGTCAAGATGAATAAATAGAATTGTCAACGCTTATTGTTTGGGTATGTTTATTCTGTTAGTGGGTTGGATCTGTGAAGAACCTGCCTAGTATGGGCCAACAGCCTACTGCAGTGAATATTACTATTCCACTCAAACAGTTTATTATTAAATCCTTGTACAATATTTGGGAGCAGGAGAACACTATTGAGTTTAGATAAATGGGGATGGCACACATGAGACAGGAAATACAATCAACTGATGAAACAGAATGTAATTTGCAGTGTGTAGTTCAGAGGACAGTCCGCCACAGGAACTCAGTCACACTCTAGGCACAGGTCCCAAGACCTACACAGCATGAGCACTGCTCCAAGCCAGTACTCTGCCCAGTGTCTCCAACAGTCTCTCCTCCAAAGACTCTCCAGCAGCCGTCTCCCAAAGCTCTGCACACTGGCAGCAGCTCTGCCAGAATCTCTTGCTCAGAGCTCTGCACACAGGCCACAGCTCCAACTGAATCTCTCCCTCTAGCTGTTTCCTTGTGCGTATATGGTCCTTCAAGCACCCCCCAGATGAGGCGTGCACTACATGTTTTGACCTGACACTGAGACCTGACGCTAGTTCAAGAACAGAAGACCTTAGACTTCAGCCGAAAAGCGTGTCTGACAGCTATTTGCCAAGGCAAGGAGTGTTACAATTTACTGGTTAATTAGGTCTCCCTCAGAGACCTCACAAGCACATTGACCTACATCACAACTTCGCCAATATCCGAACAAGCCCTGGGAAAGGACAAAATTCTAAAATTATTACCAAAACATCCGAACAGCCATTCGGATACAGCAGAAGGCTGAATCAAACTTAGCATGCACTTTAGTGTACCTATAGGCCACTAAGAGCTGCGCTCTTCGAGTTTCTTTTAGCATTATTATAACTGTGTTTTGTCCTAGTTCTCTTGTGTATGGCACCAAAGAGGGCCAGGAATGTGCCTACTCTAGAAAAAAAGAGGAAAATATTGTCACACGTGGTGCAGGTTGGTCCAAGGCTGGGGAAAAAACTACAGATGATGTGTGGACTGGCTCACTGTACATTCATATATTCTGTCGTAAATGGATTGTGTTGTGGAGGTAGTTATGATGTATTTTGTGAAACTTGATAAAATCAGTTTTTTGGGAGCCAAACATAACTAATCTGTGTAGAATTTAAGGTAGAATCTGGTTTAAATTAGATGGGTTAATTTTTTATGGTGGGTTAAGAAAGAATGGATCTTCCTCCATTGGTGCAAAATATAACTTACTCCATTGCATGGTCCACTTGGCATTGGATAATTTACATAATATGTTATCACTACACTCACACTGCAGTCCTTACACTCAATATGTACTGGTACAACATTTTTTTCATTTCACAGTCACTGAGGGTGTTTGCAATGTCTCACTTTTTAGACTACTTTGATAGGTATTGTTGGTTTCTGGCTTTATCTACTGAAGCTGTATATTGTTTACCTCTGCATTGTCATTGTGTAATACTATTATTTTTGTGTTACAGATCCGGCGCATCAAGGCGGCGGAGGGTACAGGGGAAGGTGCCGTGCAGCAGGGTGAGGTCTCCTCCTCTAAACCAACACTTCTACCCACCCAGCGCCTGGGACCTCTACTTCTCGAGGTAAGTCACCATATGCAGCAGTGCATTCAAATTTACATTTAGAAAGGATATAGGGAAGTCCACGGCAGTGGGACAAGTTAGGTCATTTGTGTACACAACAGGGTTGAACGTTCAAGTGTACAACCAGTACTGCAGTAAGCAAGGGTATGTACACCAAGTGCCATACGAACTGGTTCATACTTTATCAGTGGTTCTAATAAAACCCACACTAAATCAAGATTTCCCAAGTGGTAAATCATCCTTTTCAGGGTTTGAAATAAAAAACAGGTTGACCATCACTTATCTGGCATCATCGGGGCCTGTAGCATGCTGGATTAGTGATTTTGTCAGATTACAGTGGTTAGGTTAGAATACACTTAACTCAGTGGCGATATTTACACATCACCAATTTCACCCACTTTATGCCCAATTTTTGGCCCATTCCATTGTTCCGGTCTACCAAACTCACAGTTATTTTGCTAGTATTCCATCTGTTCTGTCGATTGAGTACAAGAAACCAGCCGTTTACCTATTTTAACTACCCAATAAAGTGCTCAGAAATTGGTAATTTGGCCAACTTCACACAAATTTCAAGAGATACCAATTTCAAAATAAACAATGCAGATGTTCCTGGCACTAAAACAACATTTTCTCTGTTCATTAGTCATGTCTCCATGCTCCTCTTATGTAACACTTGCGTTCATTTTTTAATTTTTATTCACACAAAAAAAAGAGAAGATTTACTGTTATGCTGACTACTGCATTATGGTAATAATTGTATAAATAATGTCAACCCATTTGTGACTGTGTATTAGATTGGCCAGTTGGACATGTATTGGACAGTGACATCATTTGTTTACTCTTGAATATCGGCAAAAATTGAACATTTTTGCTACTTTAAGCTCAATTTCGAGGTATTTTCTATCATAAAACGAATCAAAATCATATCTATTTCTGTAACATATCTTCCATTCTTTCAAATGAAACCAAAAAAATAACAATACAACCATAAAAATCATACGAAAATACACAGCAAAGTCATTGTTTAACACCAAAAATACGGTCGCAGCTTTTTCTCATTATGCAGTACATGCTGCAGGATATTTTTATATAGTGCACACTTACCACACAGACCTATTCTCTCACATGTATGCCCTAATTTACCGGTCGCAGCTTGTCTGAGTGAGCTGAGCTCATGGCGACTGACAGTGGCTTCAGTCACCTTATCTTTTATGGACAGTGTACAGTGTATGTGCTTTACTCAATGAGAAGCATTTCTTTTATTTGTTGGAATCATGGCTAGGGCCAATAGTGAGCAGGTTATAACAATAAATGGAGAAAAAGAAATTGGAATGACTCACGCAGTAAACAGCCCACCAAAGAGTAGCAGCAGGTTGGTGTGGTAACCCCTGAAATTTGAAATTATGCTAGCCAAGATTAGTGCTGGATTACTGATGAAACCGGACTACTGATTGTTGGAGTAGTGATGGCTGACCTGTAAAATGACAAGTTACTTATATTAGTGTGATTCTCATAGAAGCAAATGTTACATTTGCAGTATTCTCAGAAAAAAATACAAGGCCTATTTTGGATCATCAGATAATGATAAAACACTACTATTTTATATATTTGACAGTAGGTTACAGAAAGTAGGAAAACTATGTGAAAGACTTGCTTTGCTGCACAGAACTGTTAAATACCACAAATGATACAACAGAAGTTATAGGTATTAGAGTAGAAAATGGGAATCTAGTAATTAACCTAGTACGTATGTGAACCACCGTTAGTCACAGCTGAGGAATTCACAGATCAAATAAGAAAGACAAAGCTTCCTAGAAAGGCTTGAAACTCCCATACCAAATATTATCCTCCTTGTAGATTTCAGCCCAGATATGAAGTGGAAGATGGTAAATCACAGCATTGTACCAGAAATAGTTTCTGGAAGAACAGTAACTCAACAGGCACACACCAGGAAATTAATGGGGCTTTTTAAAAAGTTTGCTTTGAACCAACAGATAACAGAAATGAAAATGCACTGGATTCGATTTTTTTGAGTAATGAGGAACTAATTAGAGACATACAAATTACATGTGCAATATATGTACTCTGATCACATCATAAAAGTACACACGAATGTAAATATAGGGGTAAGGAAATTCCAGCAGTAGTAGTACGAGAAGTGATGTTCAGCAAATTTAACTTTAGATGGGACAAAATTAACAAAAAATAATCAGATATACCCTGGGAAACAGTAATGAGCACTCTAAACAATGACCATTGCCTTGAAAAGTTAAATAGAGAAGGAACAAAAAGGCACAATACCATGACTGAACTATACACATAACTTGCACATAGGAGAGAGGAGCTTATGATAGTGTTTCGCTCCAACTTGGGACATTTAGTAAACAGTCACACTAACAGAAAGAGGAGCCAGTATATATATAGGCCTCTACTACTTCTACTTCCACTTCCTGCCTTACCTCTACTAGTACTGTTACTCCCATCTCTCTTGACCCGTCACTGCCAGCTGGCCTATATATACTGGCTCCTTCACTAAAAAATGGTTATAACTATGCCCATAATTTTTAAAGGGGTGGACTGGTAAGCCAGCAGAAGGCCTCAGTAAGATGAACAAAAGCTCCAATGGCGGGTCATAATCTGATTAAGACCCGCTTCAGGAAACACTTGTTCTGTTCCCTGACAAACCTTACCTAACCTAACCTCCTTTCTGTTAGTGTGACTCTGTAAAAGGTCCAAATCGGACCAATACATCATCATGAGCACTTCTCTCCTATGTGTAGGTTATTTGTGTATTAAATACAGAAACATACTACGTAGATGTTTCGGTTGGTGTAGACTAAGAGCAATATTGACCTATTCCATAACCCCATTTTCTTGTGCCTGAATGCACTTGACTGGAATAGTGTAGCTTGTGGCAAAAGTTGATAATGCAGTTAAATATTAGTTTTGAAGAATTGAAGGGAATCATTCATATGGAAAAAAAATATCCAAATTTCTTTAATAAAGATGGTAAATTAGTATATTACACAACCCAAATCTAATTAAAATCTTTCTAAGAGACCACTCAGATGCTGCATTTACAAGCAATCAGTATGGAAGGGTTGAAGTTAATCAGATGCAATACTCAGAAATTATTGAATGAAAAACAGTATAGTATTTCAGGTTTTTCCAAGTTCTTCCAGAAGTGCCACTAGCAACCAACATAGGCCAAAATAACTCCAAACTTTTCTCTAAGTAAAATTGGCCACCTTTTAAGAAAGTAAATAAGTTCCATGTAAGATTTGTGTACATAGGTTACAGATTTTAAACAATAGTCTTGAGGACACACTGATCTTATAGGCACAAACAAATATTATATTGATTTAACCTAGGATAACCAAATAGAGTCAGACACTGTGACTTATTTCTGATGAGAAGAGACGTTATCTAATTATTTCACAGAAACAAATATAGTTAGTAAAAATTGGCATAACTTACACAACGTAACATCAAGCTAACATGAAGATCTTGCTAGCAGAGTAACATTCTCGGCTTCATTCATTTCAAATCTGGAAATAGAGGAGCTAGGGACAAGAGAAGAAGAAAGTGGTGGAAGAGATAGTCAACGTAGATTATGTACGTTGAAGAAAGCCCAACAGCACTAAAAGTGTGAAGCAGACCAGAATGTGCATTTTTCAGTTATTACACAAAATCTTAACAAAATTTTTGCCTATACAGTCTAAACCCATGAAATGTTTCATACATTTCACACAATGCAGCAACCATTGTACATTGATGCCATTCACTGTTATGTTTTAATCAGAGAAAAATGCTAAACCCACAAGGGTCATATAACACCTGTAGAATGAGGGGCATTCAAACTTGATCCAAGCAATTCAATTCAGTTCAAGTTTATTCTCTATAAGGGTTACAATGTGGGGGTTTACAAGTTTTGGGTATTGTGTGGTTTACATGTTATAAAATACTAATTACAGAGGGGGCCACTAGGACACCTAGCATGGCTAGGTGTTTCTGGCAGTGCTGGTGGTAGGGAAGGCAGGACTGGTGGTAGGGAAGGCAGGACTGGTGGTAGGGAAGGCAGGACTGGTGGTAGGGAAGGCAGGGCTGGTGGTAGGGAAGGCAGGACTGGTGGTAGGGAAGGCAGGACTGGTGGTAGGGAAGGCAGGACTGGTGGTAGGGAAGGCAGGACTGGTGGTAGGGAAGGCAGGATGGTGGTAGGGAAGGCAGGGCTGGTGGTAGGGAAGGCAGGACTGGTGGTAGGGAAGGCAGGACTGGTGGTATGGGAAGGCAGGACTGGTGGTAGGGAAGGCAGGACTGGTTGGTAGGGAAGGCAGGACTGGTGGTAGGGAAGGCAGGACATGGTGGTAGAGAAGGCAGGACTGGTGGTAGGGAAGGCAGGACTGGTGGTAGGGAAGGCAGGACTGGTGGTAGGGAAGGCAGGACTGGTGGTAGGGAAGGCAGGACTGGTGGTAGGGAAGGCAGGGCTGGTGGTAGGGAAGGCAGGACTGGTGGTAGGGAAGGCAGTGCTGGTGGTAGGGAAGGCAGGACTGGTGGTAGGGAAGGCAGGACTGGTGGTGGGAAGGCAGGACTGGTGTAGGGAAGGCAGGACTGGTGGTAGGGAAGGCAGGACTGGTGGTAGGGAAGGCAGGACTGGTTATGGGGAAGGCAGAACTGGTGGTAGGGAAGGCAGGACTGGTGGTAGGGAAGGCAGGACTGGTGGTAGGGAAGGCAGGGCTGGTGGTAGGGAAGGCAGGACTGGTGGTAGGGAAGGCAGCACTGGTTATGGGGAAGGCAGGACTGGTGGTAGGGAAGGCAGGACTGGTGGTAGGGAAGGCAGGGCTGGTGGTAGGGAAGGCAGGACTGGTGGTAGGGAAGGCAGGACTGGTGGTAGGGAGGCAGGACTGGTGGTAGGGAAGGCAGGACTGGTGGTAGGAAGGCTGGGCTGGTGGTAGGGAAGGCAGGACTGGTGGTAGGGAAGGCAGGACTGGTGGTAGGGAAGC